ACCAAATTTCGTGCATATATCTTGTCAAACGTGGAAGTTTTCCATACAAAAACTTGATTCCGATCGTTCAGTTTGCATGGCAGCTATATGTTACAGTGGTCCGATATCAGCAGTTCCGACAAATGAGCAGTTTCTTGAAGAGAAAATGGCGGTTAGAAAATTTCAAAACGATGTCTTAAAAATTGAGGGACTAGTTCGTATATATACAGACAGACGGACGGACAGACGAGCATGGCTAAATCGACTCAGCTCAACATACTGATCATTTATAGATATAGTATACTTTATAGGGTCTCCGACACTTCCTTCTGGATGTTACAAACTTCGTGACAAACTTAATATACCCTATTCAGGGTATAAAAACAAAAGAATTCTATTGTGAATTATGAACAAATTATATATCTATTTAAATTTTCTACAAAGAAAAAATATATTTCCTAATCAATATTAAAAAGCATATAGAATCGCTGATTTTTGCTTCGTACATACATACATATTCGTTAATTTTGTGTATAGTTTGCTCGCTACGTCTATGGTATAATAACTGTTGTGTGACACACGATACACAAAGCTCGCTCAGAGAGTGCCCGCGGGCTGTTCCAAAGGTTTACACTACTCTTGAATGTTCAATGTATGTATAACCTATAATACATGTAACGACATTTTTCGACATAGACGTAAATATACCTCAATTCGCAGTGAGCATTTTTTATGGTGCCTATTTTATTACTTTTAGTTAAAAGCCAATATTTTTAGAATATTTAGTATATATATAATATATTTGCTAAAAAATCTATGGCGTCACAAAGCAAAATACTCTGTATATTTTTAGATTACTACATTTCAACCCAGCGTTCTCAAACTAATTTCATCTATATGGTACGTCATAGGTCCTATCATTTTCGAGCTTTTACAAAAGAAAAAACGTATCGCACTATAATTGCTATTTTCATACTATAATTGCTTTTTCACCAGGCATCACTGAAACTAATTAAGCTTATGATACGAATAATGACCCAGTCCAGCATGCACCATTTGCGCCAGTTTTAGTCACCGCCTACTAACTCCTCATTCCTAAACTCGCTGAAATAATTAATTTCAATCAAAAGGGCAACATAGCCGCAAACTCTTTTTTTGAAGGTTTCACACTATCGAAACGGTATCGAAATGTTGGAAGAACGTTTAAAACAACGTCCTTTCATTGTTTGCTCCAGCGACTTTTTTGTCCATGTTGTAATACATATGAGATTAGAAGTAAACGGATTTTTTTTCAGAATAAAAATTAGGGAATTAGGTAACACAACCGTCATTTTGTTTGAAATTTCTGTGAAAACTTTGAAAAATTTAATTGCCAAGATTATTTATAGTAAAATCTTATAAACATAAAGTTGGTCCTTTTGTTATTAACCCGGAAAAGATCTTGAAATTAGGAGCTTTTTAAAACTGAAAATATAAAATTAACGTTTTTGCTACGTAACGAGTTTATAATCTTCCATATTATTGATATTAGCACTATAATAGTCAGAATTCTACTAAATATATTTGATTAACATATGACTCATTCGCTGTTGATAAATTCATAACTCACCTGTCAATTCGTTTTAGAGCTAATTTAGGCAAATCTAGGCTTACAAGTAAGCTACTTAGACTAATGGCCAAAAATTCCCAGCTGCAGCTATAATTCTTAAATGTATTATATTTGTTTTGCTTGCCACACTTCCTGAAGTTAAGAGGCCTTCATGAATGTCGGCTAAGCCTGTAATAACCGCTAAACTTACTAAGTTGCAGTAAGCGAACTGGACTATTCGCACAAGCCCCTCTCTACCACTTCTACTCTACCTGAACTGGTTTCCCCCCGAGTACGAGATTTAAGCTTCAACTTAGCGCAACCCAAATATGCGGCGCGTTCGCACATATAATATTACGTTAAGGCAACACATTCAGGTATTCCAGAAATGCGCGCACACTAGAGGGGTTGCATGTATGAAAAATAGCACACAAGTGACTAAGCGGGCGCCAAGTCATTTGTTTATCTCTTTGGATTTCGCAAGAAGAAGTAAGCTGTCTTTTATAACTGAGAGTTCAATTATATATTCGCAAAAGAATGCATTAATTTGCTAAAAGAAACAGCCTTCTGCAGAAAGCATTTGCTAGACGCTGTCAAAATATATTTCTGAATCTTTGATTGTTCAAAAATAATATACATGCCGCGTGCACATGCATTTGTATGATCGCTTGAAACGTTGCCAATTTGTTTCGCTTGTAAAATTTTAATTTCAATTTTTACTATTTGTTAAATTTTATTTCTGTTTTTCCCTATCGGAGAAATCTACTTTTCACATAATTTTTGTCAGGTTTTTTCCGCGTCGTCAAATGCCGCCAAGTGATTGCAAGTTGCAAACATTTGTTCAAAATGAAGCACAACCGTATGCACTGCCACAACGTTGTGGTGCTAGCCGTGCAACAGCGGCAGCGCCCAAAAATAAACATTTTTCGCGTCACTGCGAATTCGTGTTAAAGTTCAATGGACCCCGAGGCCCTGCGAGATTTGTTAGTGTGGCAGCAATTGGCCACACGCTGCATGCCACAAAGTGAGCGCGCGCGCGCGAAAATTGCCAGCAATTAATTGCAACACTAACACGCGAAGTGATAGTTGTTGCCGTGACCTGGACAATTGTAACTTCCAATACCATCCAAATAAATACCAGGTTCAATGTCCGTCCGTGACTAATTTTCCTTAAATGTACTTACTTATTTTTACTTAAATTTTCTGAAGTTTTACAAGGGAAAGTGTCAACAAAAATAAACAAATAAAAGTCCCGTATAACTACAGTCAAGCGTAATTTCAAGGAATTTTTACCTCAACTAAAAGTAAAGAAAACAAGTAAGGAAGGGCTAAGTTCGGGTGTCACCGAACATTTTATACTCTCCCATGATAAAGTGATAATCGAGATTTCAGGCGTGGTTGTGAACCGATTTCACCCATATTTGGTACATATCATCAGGGTATTAAGAAAATATTATATACCAGATATCATTGAAATCGGTTGAGTACTTCCTGAGATATGGTTTTTGGTCCATAAGTGGGCGACACCACGCCCATTTTAAATTAAAAAAAAAGCCTGGATGCAACTTCCTTCTGAGAATTCTTTCGTAAAATTTACTGTTTCTGACGTTTTTTGTTAGTCGGTTAACGCACTTTTAGTGATTTTCAACATAACCTTTATATGGGAGGTGGGCGTGGTTATTATCCGATTTCTTCCATTTTTGAACTGTATATGGAAATGCCTAAAGGAAACGACTCTATACAGTTTGGTTGACATAGCTATAGTAGTTTTCTTTTCCAAAAAAATTACGGCCAAATATGCCCCTCCCTAATGCCTGTCTCTTATACACATCTAGATGTGTATAAGAGACAGCTCTAATGCGATCCTTTGTGCCAAATTTCATTTCAATATATTTATTTATGGCTTAGTTATGACACTTTATAGTATTCGGTTTCCGCCATTTTGTGGGGGTGGCAGTGGGCCGATTTTGCCCATCTTCGAAGTTAACCTTCTTATGGAGCCAAGAAATACGTGTACCAAGTTTCATCATGATATCTCAATTTTTACTCAAGTTACAGCTTGCACGGACGGACGGACAGACAGACATCCGGATTTCAACTCTACTCGTCACCCTGATCACTTTGGTATATATAACCCTATATCTGACTCTTTTAGTTTTAGGACTTACAAACAACCGTTATGTGAACAAAACTATAATACTCTCTTTAGCAACTTTGTTGCGAGAGAATAAAAACTATAAAACACTTTGAGGAAAATGAAATGGAGCGAGAGAGTGGTTACAATGGTGCATAAATTGGTCTCACCCGTTCATGATGAAATTATCCAACTATTTTTCGCTGGTGCTTCCAGTAACAGATTATTTACAACTCCTACTTACCCATTTCCATTTTTCATAGCTCAGATTTGCTTAATAGCTTGCAGCGATTTACATATATTCCTATCCACAATTCCAGAGCTGTTGCCAACTAATGGCAAAAAATAAATAATTTCATACTACAACGATATAATGATCTTTGAGACGACTACTCCAAAAACATCATACATGTCTGCGAGAACTAATGAGAAACATAAATATTTATTTCTTTTTAAAATAAACCAAAGTGTATGTATGTATATGTGTATTTCCAAAATGGCGCCACACCGTCGATTACTGATCGATATCGGTGCACCTTTAATCCGTTTTCATAAATAACGTGAAAATTCGAAATATTTTGTTGAACTCCAACTTTTTGACAGCGATTCATGATTGCCCAAGACGATACAGATCTGGACTGGACAATTGACAGAGTTTCGCTCAAAGAATTGTTTTGTCAAACGTGCTATGTGTTTTGGATCAATTTATTAATATATTAATTACTGGCATATTTTCTGTTGCCCATGCTAGCAGCACATTACGCAGTATCACAACATAGTAGGCCCCGAACAATGTTTTTTTTTTTTTTTTGTTTTTTTCGCCATTATTGCAGACAGGGGAAACGTATTTGAGAAGGAAATCTGAATATTTTAGCCATCTTACTTTTTTTCTACCATCTGTACGAACGAAGTCGGTTAATCTTCCTTTCGTCGGTCCAAACCACAAATTTTCACTCGTTGATCTCCCAAAATCTCTGGATATCTGCAGCACCTTTTCGCGGGTGCTGAATCGGGCAAACCCTGTGTATGAAAGTGTTGAATGGCCTCTCCTTACGACGTACATTTTTTGTTATTTGATATCTTGAAAAATGATTCATTTTACAAAATTCCAACTTTTAGAGGCAACAATAACAACTCAGGGTTACCAGTCTCGATATATTGTAATAATTATAAAAACTGTCTTCAATATGTTTAAATTTTTTTCAAACCAACTTAAAATCAGAGTCGAATGCTATTATGTATAAATATATAAATTATTTTTATATAAATATATAAATTAAATTTTAATATATAGTCTCAAAATTCACCTATTACCTATTAATTTATATGATTAAACATTGCATTATATTATTGATATTTTCTCATATAAGAGCTACAAACGTTTTTTAAACAAAACAAACGGAAAAAGTACGGCCCAATGACGCCGCCGGTCCATGAACCGCTCCCCGCCGTAATTTTTTCGAAATGCAGTGGTGACTCATGGAGTACGTAAGAATTTACTTTTACAAGAATAAAGAATTTCATTGATATCCCAAACCTTAGTTGTTAAAATAACTTTTGTAGCTCCCTTATTGAACATATGTATGTATATATTACTGGTTTATAAATACATACATATGTTATAAAATGACCCTGATAATCTCTATATTTCCATAAAGTAAAATTTCTAAAATACTGTTAAAATAGGTAAAGCTTTCCAATATATTTTCTAAATACTCAGTATTCAGTCGCGGTCTTCATGTTTTGCATATCCCTTCCTAAATCGCATATTAGATACCCTCGTTTTCTCAGCGGCATAGTTTCGTCTGAAACACACAAAATAAAGAAATTCGTAAATTTGTCAATAAAAGAATATTATGCAACATTTACCTGTCCTTTTTTCATCTGTCACTTGTTCGCGGGGGTTTGGGACAATTGCTTTCGCTTTTTCTTCGGATGCTGCCTTTTGCGATGTTTCTCCTATTTGCACTGTTTCTTCCGTTTGAAAAGTTTTTTCGTTTTGTTTTAATTCCTTAGTACTCTCAATTTCTTTATTTTGTTCAGCTTCTTTGTTTTGTTCAGCTTCTTTACTTTGTTCAGCGTCTTTGTTTTGTTCAGCTTCTTTATGCGGTGGCGTCCAGAAATTCTTTATTTCCACCAATTTTAGTTGGCCCATATCACACAACCAAGTGACACCATTAGCGTTTGTCTCCATGGCTTTTATGACATTCGTGGCACAATCAGCTGGCGATTGTGCTTTGACTAAGCGACGCATTTTCTCGGTCAACATCAATTTCTTGCCCAGAAAGCAGTATACATCTTCAAAATGTTTGGTGCTGGTAGGGCCCGGACATATGGTACATAACTTTATGCCAGTTTTTGGCTCTAATAGCTGGAAATTATTGCAAGTATTATTAGCTATTTAGTAGTCAAGCAAATTGGCTAATTATAAATTTTGTAGTGATACATTTATCAGATGTACCGTATTTTTATACCCTGAACTCTTATTAATATAAAGTTTGCTGCAACCAGAAGGAAACTTCATAGACCATGAAAAATGTATATACACATAAGAGATCAGCGTGAGAAACCGACTGTCTGTCTGTATCTCTGGATCCTCAGTTTTTGAGACAACGAAACTGAACAATATCGAACAGTTCAATCTTATATGTAAATATGAGTATGATTCACTAGCAAATCATGTACTCGTATAAGCTGATCGTTACTGATTCAAATTTATTTTTTATTCAATAAACTGATAGAAGCGGCCAGAGGTTAAGTAGTCGAGTTTAAACAAAAATGTGTTACTCGTTGCAGTTCTTTGTCTTCTATCATACAAACTGATCGATGAAAATCAAGTTGTTGTATGAAAAACTTTTTAATTTGACTTGATATATTCACTTATAGTAATTTTGCATGGATTGTTATCTAAAGCAGCGCTTAAATCTCTGAACAAATTGTACAGATCGGATAGCATATAGCTGTCTTACAAACTTATGAATCAAAATAAAATCGTTGTAAGGAAGCATTTTTTGTTAGACAAGATATTTTCACGAAATTTGGCATGCATTATTATCCAAAGCAACGGTTCAATCTCCGAACAAATAGTTTTGATCGTACCTCCATCTTGTGTGTGTGGTTTTTATTTGTGAAGGATATTATGATTCTATAGCGGATTTAAATTTTTTCTTGTTTATTTGTTTAATGCTTTTACAGTGGTTCTTTACAATTGAGAGCCCATTGGTATCAATAATCCAATTTATCTTTCCTCAAAGATTATAATTTCTCATAATCTAATGTTCTGTATTGCTTGTTCATTAGAAGCATACATTCATTTGCATACATCCATCATTATATCTTATCAATGTTCTTAATAGATTGATTTTTATTTATGCCGCAAAGACGTAAACACATTATGTTATCTTTATAATTTTTTTTTTATTAATGATAAAAAACTTTAATAATAATATAATAAGGTTATTTCGAGTAAGCTCCATTCTTTACGATTTCTTTCATATTTGTAGACAATAACTAGTTATATGTATATGCACATAATGGTTTCTTGACTTATTGATAGTCTAGTTTAAAATGAAAGAAACTTAATCGCGTTGAAAATAACGGAGCTATTAGCATACGAATCCATCGCATTTAACTCGCTAACTGTGCTGCTCTTACAACAACTTTTTTCATTTTCTTCAAGAGCTGGAACTTCAGAGGTTGCCAAAATATTACACACAATACTTCTTTGTTGCCAAATCTTAATACATCTAAGTGCATATGTATCCATGCAGCTTATTTAGAAAATTATATGCACTGCACATATTTTGCACAACACTGTTTTTTTTTCACTCCCACTTCAATTTTATAGTTTTTTGTTTTGTTTCTACAAATGTTATCTAGTTGTTTTTGTTTTTGTTTTTGTTTTAAGTCAACAGATTATCAATATACAAATACACTTATGTAGTAACTAAGCTCCTCATTTGTCGGAACTGCCGATATCAGAGCACTATAACATATAACCAACAGAAATGTACCTGTGAAGGGTATTTAGCCTCGGTGCAACCGAAATTAACGTTTTTTCTTGTTTTACCTACCGCTAATGCTCGTGTAAAGTTCAAAATTCCTCCCTTTGTAGCGCTGTATATTGGTAAGGAGGGGAAGGGTGTCAGTGCAGCTACCGAAGCTATATTCAGAACAACACCGCCTTTGCCACCTTTACTTTTATCCATTAAATCGTAGGCCACTAGCGTGGCATTAATGGTGGCAGTAAAATTTGTTGCAATAATCAAATCGAAATCTCGTTCGTCAGCTATGCCCGCGCCATTGACAAGGACATCGATGTGTCCAAATTTTTCCACTATTCGCGTAAATACCGCACGAGTTTCTTCCAACCCACAAGTGACGTCAAACGCCATAAACTGGCAAACGTGTTTTGTGTCGACGGCATTTATCTCATTGAAAGCTGACTCATTCCACACCCGATCGAGTATCATGAGATTCTATAATGTAACATAATGTTACTCTTAAATTTTGTTTTATTGAAATTCGCTAGAAGCTAACATACCGCGACACCTTTTTGCACCAGCTGTATACACGTATTTAAACCGATGCCACCAAAGCCACCTATGTAAATAACATTCTTTCCGTTCAAATCCAATCCAACTTCGTCCATATTTATATCTGTTTGACAACACTCCATTTTTATTTACATTTTTGTTTTTTTGCTTTCAAGGTTCATCTATCAAAAACCGGATAGCGCACGGCAAAATACTTAAATAAAGTATTTAGTTCAACTTTTATCTAAATATGTGCAAACACAACCGTTTGCATTTGCGTTCGAATTTTGACTAAGCTGCCAGTGTATTGTGTACAGTCACGATAAAAATGAGTGTTTATTTTTGGTACATTTTCACTGAGCCAATATAAATTTTATATATATGTATGTATTTTTATTTATTTTTTGTTATCATTAGCGTAGCTATTATGTTTCCATAGAGCTAAGTGTGCGCGCTTTGCTCAGCACGTACTGTGAGAGTATTCATATCGGTTGCGCTCTCTTAAAATGACGCTAAAGTTATCAGTGTTTAAACCTTGCTACCTCGATTCTATTTCTGACTCACCGTTATCACTTATCAAATAAACCAGATTCTTTTATATACACACTTATATATATGTACATATGTATATGTGAATGGTCGTATTGGTGTTGAGATAATCAGCATTGGAGGAAATCAGAGAGAGTAGGGCATATATTTTATAGTCTCAATGATGAAAAAAAAACCATTTCAGAAAGCAGTGCTGGCTGATACAATATCCGTCTGTTATATACTATATCATTAACATATCCACCAGTCTTGTTTTTTGGCTTTAAAATACTCGTAATATTTATTTTTCTTTACTCATGTCCATTTTCGAGACTTACTCAAACAATATTCAGTGAGCAGTAATAAAGGGTTTTTAGAATCCAGCTTTCTAACCATTACTGGCATAATGAATATATTGGTTTTTCGAATATCAATATAGTTATACCGTATATTTTATTTACACTCAAAAACCATTAAGTTAGTTTTGTGTTTTTTCATAGCCCGAACAGGATAAATTAAGTTTGCCACGAAGTTTGCAACTTATAGAATATACATGTATATAAATTATCAGCGAGACGAAATGAGCCGATTTAACTATGGGCGTATACCGCATACCGTCTTTATGTTGCAAACGCTTTAGCTGGAATCCCCAATACCAAACCACTTTAAAACATAACTCTCTTGAATGGAAAATATTTTTTAGTTGACGAGATATGTGAACGAAAATTTGCATACATTATTTTCACAGATAATTTTGCAATCTCCAAAGAAATCGCTCATATCAGACAACAAAAGCATATAGATTCCATACAAACTGATCGCTCTAACTCAAGGTATCGTCACGAAATTTGGCATATGTTATTACCTGAGGCATTCTCCGAACATATTGTTTAGATCAGCCATTTAAACTGACCGATCAAAATGAAGAAAAAGGTCTATATTTTAAAAGGGTATAATTTTATGCCACAAAAAAGGCACCTTTGAAGGTTAGTTAGCTTCCATGTACCCGAAGTTAACATTTTTGTTGTATTTTAATAAAATTATCCTATCCTCATGTACCATAAAGTACTATTTAAATGTTGCTTTCGTTATCATTTCCAACAGGGGTAGTTATGCAACTTTTGTAATACTTTGTAGAATGTTAACAAACCGGTTTCACTCTGTTATAATCGAGCCGCAAGTATGCTTCTATGACTGTAAGACTGTAAGAGTTATTAATCGTCTAAAAGAGTACCAAGAGTACAATTAAGAGAAAAACCACAAATAAAAACACATTCTTGTAGTCTAGAAATAAGGTACTCCTTACGTACAAATGTATGTACTATTCTATATCAATATGTATATTTAAATATTCAGTCTATGAGTGTAGAGCGCTGCGTCCCTTATTTTCCTCTCAAGGGTCGTGCTTCTAAATTGCAATATCAGCTGTATGTATCACATTCCGCACGCCGAGAATTGCAGCTTTCGCTTTCTGGATTTTACAGATGCTGTTTTTAAGTTGGTGAAGGAAATTTTAAATATGGTATTTAGCTTTGCCTTTGCATTTTTCTAACTTTGCTCTGTTTCCGGGTCTTCTCTATGATGTGGTGGTGTCCAAAAGTTTTTTATTTCCACCAATTTAAGCTGCCCCATATCACTCAACCACGTAGCCCCATTTTTATGCGCTTCTATAGCTTTGACTATATTATTTGCGCATTGGTTAGCAGTTTGCATTGGAAACGGACGACCGCGCATTTTCTCTTTAAAAGACAAGTCTCTGCCTTGGAAATGATGGACATCGTCCCAATATTTGGTGTCCGTAATGCCGGGACAAATACTATATAAAGTTATGCCGGATTTGGGTTCCAATTGCTGCAAAATAAGATAATAACAAATTATTAGAAAGAATCAGGAAAGTTTATATAATATTTTTAACAGCGTACAAACATAACTCTCTCTACCATAAAAAAAACGTAGAGAACGTGTACGTCTGTCCGTCTGCCTGTATATACTAGAAATAATAACTCAGTTTTGGAGATATCGATCTAAAATTTCGGAACCGTCATTTATTTTCCCAAGAAAGTACTTATTTGTTGCAATCGCCGATATCTGACTACTATAACATATAGTTGTAATACTAACAAACCAATAAAAAATCAAGATAGATATGTTTTTATACCCTTTTGCTCAAATGATTTGTTTTATACTTAGCTAGACTGCAGCTAAAGTTAACGCTTTTTCCTCTTTTACTTTAAAGTTGTAAGTCCCCCTAATCAGTTGCTTTTTTCCCGGTAATAAAATTAATGTTTTGAAGTTACTAAAGCCTATTTCTTGAATTATAAGTCAGTAAGCTATACAAATTTTGCTTACGTCGCAATGAGTCGGCATAATTTTGAAACCATATACTCATACAAAAATGCGACAGTATATGTATCTGTTATCTTTTGAAAAACCGGGCATCAACTTGGCAAGTAACATATAACCTTGTTCACTGTGCACCGATTCTGTCACGCACTCTTATGTACTAGTCAACACCATAGCACCAAAATAAGTGTCAAGATTTACAAAATTCTTATCTACAATATGCAGTTGAAGCTATGGTTTACCTACCGCTAATGCTCGTGTAAAGTTCAAAATCCCTCCTTTGGTCGCGCTATATATTGGTAAGACGGGGAAGGGTGTTAGTGCCGCTACCGAAGATATATTCACAACTACACCTCCTTTACCGTCTCTGCTCTTATCCATTAGATCGTAGGCAACGAGAGTGGCATTAACAGTGCCCGTAAAATTGACAGCGATTAAATTATCGAAATCTCTTTCAGTACATATACCCGCGCCATTAATTAGCACATCAATGCTTCCTAACTTCTCCGCTATTTGTTTAAACAGTAGACGAATCTTTTCCAAACCGCAGGTGATGTCAAACTCCGTAAACTTGCACACACAACGCGAATCGACTGAGCTAAGTTCTTTGAACGCTGATTCATTCCAGGTCTTGTGTAGTATCATTAGATTCTGTAAATTTATAGCATAAATATTAATATTTTTAGTCCACTTTTTGTTGTTTTTTTTCTGTTTTTTATGTTTAAATTTTATCTAACAACCTACCGCGACACCTTTTTCCACCAATTCTTTACATGCTTCCAAACCGATGCCACCAAAACCACCTATATAAACAATATTCTTGCCGTTCAAGTCCATATTGACTTCTTCCATACTGCTAGCCATACTTTTTGTTTAATAACTCCAACACTTATATTTACTTGTATAAACTTATTTTAATGTTTATATTTTTACACAACACTAAATAATATTTAAACACATGATATTTGTAATTATAGTTCATATATATGTACGTTTGTTCGCGCACAACCGCCCGACATTACGTTTGAACTCTAACTGAGTCGCTTAAGCACTGAAAACCTGTTGGCGATAACATATTACTATAAATATATATTTTAAAAATTTTGCTAGTCATCGTAAGCATTATATGTATATACATATGTATGTATTGTTATCTGAATTGTTAATTAGATAATTTCGTTGAGTTTATTCACTCAGTACGTATATACATAGACATCTAGCATTTTGGAGAGTGTGAGTAACCTTATCGATTTCGCGAGTAACATATTCCTCTCTTAGTTTTCAAACCAAATAGTGCAAAGTCATTGCTATCAACCGTTAAAAACGCTTTTTTTATGAAAATATTAATGAACATTTTTATGTACGACATTCTTCATGTATCTACTAAGTATTATATGAACATACGTATGTATATGCTTGCACGTTCTAACCATAAGCAGATATTGAAGCACGTGTTTATATACTAGACAATATACTGATTGTGCGTTTGTGAGAAGAGAACAGAGGCGAGCTAAAAAAAAAACTTAACTATTTCTATCTTGATTTTGATCGATCAGTTTGAATGGCAGCTACATATGTATGTGCTTTAAGGTTCCGATTTTTTCAGAAATTGTATCGTTATTTTAAAACAGAAGAAGTTTTCTCTGCAAGGACATGATTTTAGTCGTCAGTTCTTTTTTTTTTTTTTTTTTTTTTTTTTTTTTTTTTTTTTTTTTTTTTTTTGTGGGTATTGTGGGATTTTAGCATTGTCTGGGAAAAGAGTCTAGCCAAACTTCNGACATGATTTTAGTCGTCAGTTCTTTTTTTTTTTGTTTTTTTTTTTTTTATTTTTTTTTTTTTTTTTTTTTTTGTGGGAATTGTGGGATTGTAGCATTGTCTGGGAAAAGAGTCTAGCCAAACTTCGTGAAGGTATGCACATACCTCGTAAAAAAGTTTTCAATACATTAGCTTGATTTTCATCCTTCAGTTTGTATGCTAGCTTTATGCTACAGTGGTCCGTTAACAGTGGTTCTGACAAATGAGCAGCTTCTTGAGAAGAAAAACATATATTACGCAAAATTTCAGATCTATATTTCAAAATCGTTTGAATTAGTTCACGTATATACAGACGAGCAGACAGACAAATCGACACTGCTGATCATTTAAATATATATTTCATTGTACCCTAATTACGATCGAATGACATGGAGGATACATAATTAAAGAATTGTGTAGCCATTAGACGCCCACTTCAAAGTACAAAATACCACCTCTTGGCAAGTATAATTATTTTTTTTAGCATAAGACTCTGCGGATTAGATTTGTTGAAAATTTGCTATTTACCACATTACCCAGAACATATTATAAACAATGCTTCGATTTTCGAAATACCAGCCGGTTTCTCCGGTTTCTCCGTTTCGGTTAGTTTTTAGATTTTCCGAGGTCATGGGCATAAATACAAGGCGCGTTACTGATAGCAATGCATTTAAGCTATATCTTTGGAACTTATCCTCGGCGTTCTCTTGTGCATTTCATACTTAAAACATTAACAAAAATTGATTGGGTCAAACTGTAATTGATTTTGATAGCGTATACTGTTTCTGTATTGCTTATTGCTATAAAAGTTGTCAAACTTTTTCCTATTATTCGGTATTTGGTAACTTAGTGTGGGCCCTGACCATGAAATATATATGAAGCTAAAACCACTTTTTGATTAAAACTTTATGAAATGTTTCTTAATAAAGTTGTTTTTCAAAATTACCGCTCATCAAACAACGAGTTTATTTAAATATTTAAGTGTCATTAAAATATCCAAAGAGATAACAAATTTCTTTGTTTGCTTTAGAAACTTATTACTACGTCACCATGAGTTTTAAGGTTGAACAAAGATAGATAGCATAAATAAATCTAGTCATCTAACTCAATATTTGTTGACTAAAGTACAATATTAATGGCCATTAAAGAACTCCTGTCTTAATGATAAGTTGGCACTTAAAAATCTAACAATTCATGCAAGTGGTGCAAAAATAATGTGCAACATTCTTTAGGTTAGTCAGCTAAAAGCGGCTGCAACAAAGGGTTATGATCCTAAAAATGTTATCTTATCCGAGCTATAGTAGTATAATGGTTACGTAGAGTACAACCCTTTGAATTACTCTAGTTCTAA